CAAGGAGGACATAGAGAAGGCTCTCTACCACGCTGAAGCTATCCTTGCTGCCACTCCCCCTGATCACCCCCTCTACGAGATGTACAAGAGCATCCACTCTTATGCACTTTTGGCCGCTCCCAATGAGGAAAGCCCAGTTAGCCACGACGAGATCATCAATCACGCTCGAGAGGAGGTCGAACGGGCTAAGGCTGCCAGGGACCCCAACTGGGGTAGGAAGGTGCTTCGACTATGCAACCTTCTCTATGCCCGTTTCGAGAAGAACCTTGAAGCTCGTGATGACAACATTAGTGGGCAGAAGAGGCTTACGGATGACCTTGACCTGGAGCACGCCTTCACCGACTGGAAGAAAGTTGCTACCGCTGGGCTCAGGAGTATCCCATCTCCCCCAAGTGTCCGTTTCCGAGCTGCGTTGAAGTGGGCTGACGTTGCCTGCCGCGAGGGCCGATACAAGAGCGCAGTTGAGGCCTACAAGGTTGCCATGAGCTTGGCACCTCGAGTCTCCCTTGCAAGGCGGAGGGGCGCCTTGTCCGATGATTCCACTAGTGCCGTCGAAGCTGCTCCTGGCGAAGAAAACGAGCTGGCCCTTCACGCCTTTAGCTTGGCTTCCGATGCTGCTGCCGCTGCCATTGAGAAAGGTAGCATCGATTCTGCTATTGAATTCCTCGAACAAGCAAGATCGCTTCTGTGGCGCGATGCGTTAGCGTTACCAACAGATCTGGAGAGCTTGGAGCAGATCAACCCAGAACTTGCGAACCATCTTGTTGAGGTCTTGATAGAGCAAGAGCAACACCATCCTTCCGACGACACTGGTCCCATTGTCAGCCCCACCTCCCCCTTGCTGAAACCCAGCAGCCTGAAGGCGCCCTGGATGACTGCCGCAGAAGAAAAGACTCGCCTCGAAGGAACACCAGACGATCGATGGAATTCTATCGTAGGGACTGTTCGTGCGGCTGAAGCTGGTTTCAGCAACTTTATGCGCCCTTGGAGTCTGGAAAGTCTCCGCGCTGAAGATGCACACGTCCCAGTTGGTCCTGTTGTCATCCTCAACTCGAGCTACATTCGCTGTGACGCCATCGTCCTCGTTTCGACTTCAGAACCCGTACTGGTCCCCTTGGAGGCGGTGACAAAGGGCGAGTTGGAGAGACTGGCGGCGCAGCTGGTTACTGGTGTCAGGCAACTGGGAGAAGGCACCGTCACTGGCTTCGAATTCGACAAAGCAGTACTTGAACCAGTGCTCAAGACCCTCTGGGAGAAAGTTGTCAGTCCAGTTTTGGAAAAGCTCGAAGAAGTTGCCGTGGGCAGGAACGTTGGATGGATACCGACTGGCGCCTTTACATGGCTGCCTGTTCATGCTGCTTCCCTCGTCGCAAGAGAAGCTATTGTACGGGAAAGAGACGATAGGACGGAAGAAGAGGAAGGAATCCGACATACCAGAATTGACTATGCATCCAAGTATACGAGTTACTACGCCACATCACTACAGTCCCTTCTCCGCCCACCAGTCTCCCATGGTGGTCCATCAAATATGTTGATCATCTCGGATCAACCTGCTCGCAGGGCACCGCTCCTCGGTGGCGTGGTCACAAGCATTCAAGCCCTCAGAGCACAACTTGGATCCAAGAGTGACGATGGCCGCGACAAGCAAGGTCAGAAGATGGTCAACTTGCAATCCTTCGAAGGACCTGGATCTGCTGTTCCTGGAGCCATCATCAGGGCTCTTCAGCCACCTACCCGTGCCGACAACGAATCGGACGATGCACACGATGCCAACAACGCAGTCGACGCCATTCATTTCTCTTGCTCCACATTCTGCGACGCTCTCAGGCCATCCAACAGTTCGTGGCGCGTCGCCGACGGTGGTGTCGTCCGCGTCTCTGACCTCTTCGGTACTTGGTTCTATTCCCAAATGCCTTCCGGACATCACCCTTCTCTTCCCCAATTCGTCTTTAGCAGCACAATCTCCTATCGCCTCGAAGGACCCACCAGGGCTGGTGGACCATCGGAGGGCAAACTGCGACTTCCACAAGAGTTGATGTCCCCGGAGGCCGCTCTTCAATTCGCCGGTGTGAGAAGTGTCATCGGTCAAATTTGGAACACGAAAAGTGAGGATGCCACAGTCGTAGCCACTCATCTCTATGGCGCCACAGTCAAAGCTGGAACCGGGGATGACAGGAGAATCTACTCTCATCCGATAACTGGGCGGATCACCAAGG